AAGGAACTGCAGCAAACACACACACACACACGCACACACACACACACGCACGCACACACACACACACACTTGTGGATTAAAGATGACCTGTCGTCTCTTTCATCTTGAGAGAGAAAGGACAAAGGAGGAGCAGAAAGAAGAAGGTGGAGAGAGAGAGAGAGAGAGAGAGCGAGCGGTTAATGGAGACGGATGTGGAGAAGCGATGAGAAGATGTTTGAGAGTTCACAGTTTTATTTAATTACACATCAATAAATCCTCTCAGGTAATTAGACCCATTAGGCTGATGAGCTCCGTCCTCCATGTTCACCTGCTGCTGAACCTGCAGCGTCTGAACGACCTTCATCAGGTTCCATCATCTTCGTCACCTCTGAAGAAACTTGGGTGTTAAAGGGATAGTTCACCCAAAAATGAAAATCCCCTCATTATCTTCTCACCTCTGTGACGGTGGTCTAACTGAAAAACAAGTGACGTAACTGGAGACTGATTCTTCAGACGTGATAAAGCAACACGCCTCCATCCTGCTCCTGTGATGTCATCAAGCGTCCTGAAGCCCCGACATTCACATTGGACTGGAGGGACTCTCTCGAGGGACGCGAGACGAGCTCAGCCGGAACATGCGATAGCTGCACACCTGTTTACATGCTACCAGAACATGCAACAGAGAGGCGCTCACAGAAAGTTCCACTTTACTTTTCAAACCTTCTAACAAAGAAGAAAATGTCGGAGGACTTCGTTTTCATAAGTTCACGCTGAAACTCTGTCACCTGCTCAGTTCAGCAGGAAACAAACTGAATGTATCTTGAGTCCTGCGTCAATCAATGAATCATCACGTGGAACAACATTCAATAACTGTTGAGATCGTTCAGTAAAAACCAGAGTGGTCGATCAATGCACTAACGACAAACCAACATCTTCTCATGCTGCTAATTCTGACCTGAGGATGTAAACACGCACCCTGAGCATCGACTCCACAGGAAACAGGAAGATGATGCTGAGGAGACAGACAGCCGTCCTGTCCTGTTCCATCACTGTGTGTCCCTGCATGTCCACAGATCATTTCTGTGGTCGGTCAATACATAACGTGTCAATAGCTGCTCAGCGAGGGACAGAAAGAGTTTCTCTTCACTGCGTCTGTCTCTTGATGAGCTGATGAACTGATGAGCTGATGAACTGAAGAACTGATGAACTGATGAGCTGATGAACTGATGAACTGATGAACTGATGAACTGATGAGCTGATGAACTGATGAGCTGATGAACTGATGAACTGATGAGCTGATGAGCAGGAAACAGAATCACATCATCACACTCCGAGCCTCCGTCCTTTTTCTTTATTATTGATGAGACACTGAACATCACTGTGGCTCTGGCTCCG